GGCTCGGGGCCAAGGACTGGTGGAGATTGACGACAGGGTCGTACACTGATGATCAGAGAGCTGCTGTTATTTGGGAGTAGTTCAGGGATATGTTCTGCGCTCGATACATTCCTCGGGTTGAGCGGGAACGATTGGCTCAGGAGTTTTTGAGTTTGAAACAGGAGGAAGAGTCGGTGACGGAGATCACCCGAGTGTCACGGAGTAGGCGATGTTATGCCCGGAGTTTGCATCGGAGCAGGCTCAGATGACACGTTATCTGAGCATGCTCAAGACTGACATTCGTCAGTTTGTTGCCACACAGCGATGCGATACTCTACTGGAGTAAAAAATATGTTTCTACATTTAAAATACATAAAAATACATAAACATCTATATAAAAAGCTTTAAAAAATACATAAATACATTAAAAAACATATAAATACATAATACAAAAAATAACACATAAAAATACATAAAGAATATGTAAAATACTTAAATATATATATAAATACGTAAAAAAATACGTTTATACATTTAAAATACATAAAAATACGTAAACATATCCATATAAAAATTTAAAAAATACATAAATACGTAAAAAAATACGTTTATACATTATATACAAATTCTAACGAAATCTGCAGAAAAATCTCATTATTTTGAAAAAATTAACGATTTGGTTCTATGACCTGCTGAACATGTCAACAAGGGCTAAAGTGAATAAATTAGCCGGTTTTTTAGGTTTTTATATATTCAAAAAGTTAAATAATCGGAACTTTCCTATTAAAATAAATAAATTTAGGACTTTATTAAAAAATATTCTAAAACATTGTGACTTTTCTGGAAATTTCCCTATGCAGTTTTATTCACTCAATTATATTGGGTTAACCAAATTATCGAATGTATTCTTTTTTTTTGTATTTGTATGATTGTGTTTGTGCTCTATAACATTTCAAATATTCTAAATATACTACAAAAATCCAAAATAAATAAAATTTTGAAAAATTTACATTGTAATCACTAGTTAGTTTGTTTTCGACAAATTATTTCCATCAACATTTTATTATATAAATTTATTTCCAGGCAACGTATTCAAATACATCTAGTTTGTAATAAGCCAAGGAAACAGGACAATTTAATCATTAGGAAATTAATGCAATAGATGGATAACAGGATAAGTAGTAAAATTAATTTTCGATTTTTTTTTAAACCGACTATTAGGGTTGTAAACGAACAAGAACGATGTTTGTTTATGTTCGTTTGTTTAACAAATTATATTGTTCATGTTCGTGAACATACTAAACGAACATAAACGAACGGAGATAAACAAACATATAATATAGTAATGTAATCAAACATGACTGAACATATATTAACATAAAATAAACTTAAATGAACGAACAAAATAAACGAACGTTCACGAACATAATTGAACGAACAAGAGTATTGTTCATATTCATTCATTTAACTAAAAGAACATGAATTTGTATTCATGTTCGTTAATTTATTAAATAAACTAATATAAACGAACATGAACTTTTCATCATAAGGTTCACGAACCTACTGACTAGCAAGGAGCTAGAAGGAGACAAGGAACAAAGTACAAAGATTAAACTCTGGAAAGATTTATTTTGCTAATTAATAATTAATGTGATATTAACTACTTTCAGAATAAACAACAAATTAGGTTATTTAATAACTACATTGTATGAAAAATCGACACGTCTACAACTTTGGAATACATTTAATTTGGACACTACGTACCTAAGTTACTTGAGATTAATTAATTAATTTAGATGAGAATGATGGGTTAAAGTTTAGTTCATCTCAATGGATAACATTTAGCACCCTTTTATGTCGGTGCGATCTTTTTATTAAACTAATAACAACGCATTAATTATTTGCTAATTTGTTATGATATATTACGATTTAATAAATCGAAAACTTGTTTAGAACGTTTTTGGTTAATTTTGTAACGGGAATTTAAATAAAATTGTTTTTAAGGCAAGAGATTTTATAAATAATAACAAGATGTTAGAAAAATAATCAGCATTTTCAAGTCAGCCAACCAAATTAAATTGACTTTTCCTATCCTCTATGGCTCTATTGTAAATCCAGAAACACGATGGAGCAATTATTTTGTCAAAATTGAAGCAATTGATGATCAAATTAACGAAGAAATTGCTAATATTATGGAGATTAAAACTAAGTACATGAAACAAGTGACTTGATAGCTTATTTTTCGAACTTTTTTAAGTCGTCATGTTTGGTCAGTCAAAAAGTAGCTTATAAGTTAGCTTTTTAAAAAGCTACTTAAACTAGTTTTTTAGAAGTTTTTAAAAAAAATTCAAATATACCCATTAATTAATTGTAAAAAAAATTAATATCATTTTATATTGTTCGGTCAGCTTTCCAGGTAGTTTACTAAACATTTTTTTTAGCAGCTAATTTTTCTGCTACCAACTAGTTTTTATTTAGCAGCTAGTTTTTCAACTAGTAAGCCATTTTTTTTTTGCTAATGAAATTGCTCGTCGTTCCAAAAAAACGATGAAGTTAAGTTGGCTAGAAAAATTTGACTTAGCTAAAAAAAACCAAAAGTCCTTTAGGCAGTAGAAGATGATGAAAACTCGTGGGCTTTTTCATGGTATGATAACCGGAAAAGAAGGTAATGGCTATTTAGAGGTGTGATGATTAACAGCAATTGGATTACAAATCCAATTAAAGTTAATTGAATTTAAATTCTTTTGTAGAAAAGTTTCATAGTTAAGTTTTTACAATGTCAACCTCAAACTTAAGTCCTTTAAATGGCTTTTTGAGCAAAATAAAAAAGTTCTGAAGCCTTGTTTATGAGTAAAGGTTAAGAAAGATGGTGAGGATAAACCCGGTCGAAACATGTGTATATATGTCTTTATTAAGCGGTTTTGGGAATTATACGAACCAGATATCTTTGGATTCGTTAAAGAATTCCAAATTTCAGCCACATTTCTGAGAGTTGTAATTCATAGTTTGTTGTTTTGATTCGGAAAGTTCCATGTCATATTTTTATTAAGAATGTTTTCGGATTAGTTTCACCAGTTGCATTTACAAGATTATAATCAACATTCTGGCAAATCGTTTGGCAAAGGTAATTGGTGAGATTGTTGGTGTTCAACAGTTGACTTTTATAAAAGATCGACACACAGGACCTTGATTGTTAATGAGATAGTTTTATTGGTATAAAAGAGCACGTGGAAAGTTAATGGTCTTCAAGATTGACATTGAAAAAGCCTATGACTCTTTACATTAGGATTACTTGGATGAGATGCAGGGTATATATATTGGTTTTAATTGGTGAAAGTGGCTTTAATTGTAATTGATAGATTTATTAATAAATTCTTTTCGTGGAAGGTGAAGATGCTTTGTATTGGAGGTCGTTTGACTCTTTGAAGTTGATCATCGGCAGTCTAAGCATTTATTTTCTTTCTACGTTGCAAGATCCTATATATGTTCTTAATTTTCTTGAATCACTAAGAGAAAAGTTCTTCTAAAGAAGTAAAATTGGCGGAAACAATATTTTTTAGGTTAAATGGAGGAAGGTGTTGGCTTCTAAAGAAGAAGAGTTGAAATTTTATTCGTTCTCAATAGGGAATTACTTTTGACATGGAGATGGATGTTCTTAATTAAGCCAAATAACTTACATGTGAAGGTTATTAAGGTGATACATGGTGCTAGAGATTTGTTTAAATTTTGTGGGTTCGCTACAAGTCTACAAGATAAAAACATTCTGGTGAATGTTTTCTTTACAAGGAAATTCGAACGAGGAAATGAAGCCTCTTTTTGGAATGCATATTGGATAGGGGACACATTGTTTGCCCAAAGTTTTAACCAACTTGCAAGAAGGTTGTACTTGTAATGAAAATCTTGATTAAAGGCAAATAAAGACCCGACTCCTAGGCTAGGTTGGAAAATGCCAAAAAAATATCATAATTTGTTTGTAAACTACCTTAATTAAAAAACATAAACAAGTTGGATCAGTCATTCATATCCAACCCAATTGGTCGAAACTTAGAAAAAATTTACATTGTTAACCACCACTTCAACTTGATTTTACTAACTCTATTATAAATTATGGATTTACAACTATATAATAACAAGATTAAGGAATATCTTAACCGCGTATGAAAGTATTAAAGGTGGTCCTACCCATGTTACATTGCATATGGTTGGTCCCAGAATGCATGACTTTGTTTTTCACAATCACAAGTTAATATTTCTATTATTGCTCTAAATTAAATCTGTATAAAATTAGAATATTGGAAGGAATAGCAAATTTGCACCATATCCCAGGACCCAGGTAACGAATAAACACGTGTTATTCTAAGACAAGACCTATGTCTTTCATGGGTTGTTTGGGATTGCTTATTTAAATCAAAATATATGTTTTTTTCTATAAAAATGCTTATTAGTTTCTATGATATTAAAATAAATTTCAAAAATGTTTTTTATGAACTCATGATCAACCAAAACAATTTAAATTACTGTGATATATTATATTATAGTAGTTAACGAATTCTGCTTATTTACATGACCGAAAAAGATAAGGATTATATTAAGGCAAACTGTTCATGAAAAAAAAAAAAAAAAAAAACGCATATGACCCATATAATTTTTTCTGGTTAAAACAGTTGTAAAATACTAAAACTGATTCCCATGAATAATAAACATATTCAAATCAGTTAGAAAAAACTTATCGAAAATGCATTCCAAAAAGAGGCTTCATTTCATCGTTCGAATGAAATGAACACAAGCACAAGCATTCCAAAAAGAGGCTTCTTTTCAGGATTAACCAACAAAATCAGAAGATTTTACTAGGAAGATATTTGTTTTTACTTTGTTATCAAAACTTAAGAAATCGAGTAGATATGCAAATCATATTAGAAGGTATGGGAATAGATAGACCAACAATGAAAAATAAACTAGTTCTTTATTGTTGGATTAAAAATCATATATGCATGGTTTATGCATAAACAATAAAATCAAAACTCACAAGTACTTCCCTTGTAGTTACACAGACAATTATTCATCTAAAAAAATCGAAGCTTACATTTTCTGAATAAAACCATGGTCCTCAAAGTGGTTTTATACTTATAAGTCGAAAACAACCTCCTTCCAAATGTGTTAACAAAATGCATTGTAAAACATCGATGACGCCTTGAAAGCAACAGGGTCGTTTATTACCTGGACAGGTGTCGATACCTGATTGGCCTCTTTTATATTGGTGTTGCAACCCCACACCCGAACAGCAAGCCTTCTACGGTTTGGAGATGATTTCCTCAAATAAGTATTGTACCACTCCTTAACATCCCTCTTTTCAAGACACTTTACAGCTTCCGCTTCTTTTGCAGACAAATCAAACATATACCTAGTGGATGCCAATAACGTAATATTATGAACAATAGATCTGACCAAAATACCCTTAAATCTCATGTGACACATAGGACATGACAGAGACCGATACTGATGTGAATGGGACAAAAGTTTACCTCTGGTCTGTGATTTGACCCCAATATCTATTTGTTTCGTAAGTGAGAGAAGGGTCTTTCTCTAGAAGCTTTGCAATTAAGCCGCTTTTGAAATTCTGAAAAGATTCGTCATCAAGTGCACTCTGCGAAACCGGTAAACATAACATGATGTGGAAATATTAATTATATATCGAATTTTGGATTTGTAAGTATAGTTATTTAATAAGAGTTTGCTTTACCAATAAATCTTGGAGTTGGTTGATGAAATTATCGATTCTCCCTTGAAGATATATAGGAGTATATTCAGAAGATTGGACACGGAAACAGAAACCTAATATGCGGTATGTTACCCGAGGGCTACAATCGACTACATAACCAAGCTGCTCCTTTGTCCTGTATTGTATTGTATTGAATAAATAATGAACCATGGCTGGTGTAAATTGTTAAATATTCGTTTAATTTGGTTTTACCTCAGTTGATTGAAAAGTGGTTCTTCAACAATTTCATCCAAGAGATCAACCAGTGCTTTTGATTTGGACAAGTTGGAAGCATCTTCTGGTTCAATCTGATAATAAAGCTGATACAAAAAAAATTCAAAGTCAGAACCATTATTATGACTATTTTCCTAACAATAATGAGAGAGCTGTTATTAGCAAAAATAATTAATTTTTTTTTTTTAATTTTACCTCAACGACAGAATTTGTGTCAAGCTTGTTTTTGACTGGAACGTCTCGAACTAGGTCTGCACTAGGAGGAAAACATAAAATGCTCTCTTTGTGTCTCATCTCAAATGGAAGCGGTTGTACAGCAAAATATTTTTTAAATATATTTGATAGGGTTTTGGCTTCTTCTTCAAGTAAATTCCCATGGCAAAGCCCTTCGATATACAACTGCACAAGGAAGATTTGTGAGCAACCAAATTACACTTTACACTATGTAATATGATTAAAAAGTGTAAAAGTGCACCTGGGAGAATAATTCGGGAATAAAATCTTTTAAATCAGCCAAGGAGAGATTATTTAGCAATTCAAGTTTCTCATCAACATCCCAGAAACTTTTACAAAGAACTTGTAATCTCAAATAAGACGAATGATTTAGCGGCTTCATGTTGGCATTTCTTAAATTTCTCTCCATATCCTCCTTCATTACCTGAAAAATCAACAACAAACATAGAGTCATACAGGCATTAACTTTATTTGACTGCTTTTGAGGTTAAACCGAAATTAAACAGTAAACATTTTGCTCATGGTCCTAAAAGACCGCAAAAAAGAAACATCAACAGATTGTCATGTATAATCAATGTGTTAAATAGTTTGAATTTCACAAAACTGTATTCAAATGGCTAAACCACCTAAATCAATTTATTTTCAAGAACATAATATTATTTTAAATAGTAAAGTTCCACAATCTTATTTTTAAGACATTAATATTTACATAATTCAGAAAAAAAAAAAAAAAAAAAAAAAATGTTAGTGAGCCAAGGACAAATGGTCATTTTAAATATCACATAATTTAAAAAATTATACATTCTAAGGTAATTAAAAAATGATACGATTTAGAAAATAGTTTCACAATATAATTAAGAGTAAATTACAAATTTGGTCCCCACGTTCTATTTTTTCAGTCTTTGTCTAAGGCAAAAATGGTCCTTTAAAAAAAATTAACAGCTGAGTAGTTACGTTTATTGATTCAGGGACCAAAATCATTATAAACCATCAAAATAAGTACCAAAATTGCAATCCAATTCCTTTTGGGACCCAAACTGAAAAAAGGGCTAAACTCAAATACCAAATTTGTAAATTACTCTAGAAGATTATCAACTAACTCTTTAACTTGCACATACCACAAAGCGATCATCAGTGGGCAAAAACGATTTGGCAGTTTCCAGAACTTTGGAAAGAAGAACTGGAAGCTTGTCATTAAAGCCATAGACCTTTAGCTCTAATTTGTCACTAACAAGTGATATAGAAGTTTCCAACTTAGCCACACTTGCCTGAAAGAAAAGGAACAGGGCTATTTATTACAAAAAAATCCTCAGGTTTCAAATATATAATATGTAAAAATAAAAATACTTGCCTGATATACAATGTCATTTAATTTGTCCTTTAGAAGGTTAAGAAAAAGCTCAGTCAAGAGGACATTTTTTAAGCCATGATAAGCACCATTAAGTGTAACACGGAAATAAGTATTAGCACGTGGGAATCGGAATGACGTATCGAGCTTGTACCAGAACTTCATCAATGGCTCATCAATTATGCATTCCGGAGGAGATGCATCGGCGGAATCACACATTACCCCGTTTGCACGAATGGAAAAGTCTTTTGGAATGAATTCGTTCTTTGCAGGTAGATGTAATGCAACATCTATTTCTGGAGGATTCTTCCATGATTCCAACATGGATGGAGGAATACTTTCCTCTTTATACTGTGATCCAAACCATGGTTCACTTTGGACATCTGAAACAACAAATGAAACATGTTTCATAAATCTATCATGGCAACTTACTTTTAAAGTCATAGTTTCTTGAGATCCTTTTTTTTTTACCTTGCGACTTATTGAAGGACTTTGATACTATATCAATCCTCATGTTGTCTGGTGTGAAGAAACTCAAAACATGTTTGATCAGTTCTGCATCCCACACTTTGTATGCATAATCCCCGTATATAATGTGCTCCGGTGGATAAATAAGCAAATTTTCTGAGATACCAATAACAGTTTATTAAATATATTATCTGAGATAACAAAACGAGGATATATATAAAAAATATAACAGAAAGAGATACCTGAAAGCTCTGCAGCATATTCATCTTGGGGTTGTTCTTCAGCAAATGTAAAATCCATATTTGCAATGTCTTGAAGTTCTTTATATATCCATTCTTGGGGAGAGTTTTGTTGCAGTAACTTTAGATATTGATATACAAAACCAATGATCTCATATATCTGCAATTTTTTCAAACAAGATTTTTAATAAATCAAAAAGAGATGACGATTAATTGCATGATAAGAAAAGATTGTGATTTTAATTATTACCTTTTCAAGGCCAGAGTCAGTGAGGTAAATAGACATGCCAAAAACATATGCTATTGAAGATCTATGCATTCCATCATCACCAACACCAGCAGATATAGAAGTTGCCCACCCTTTTGCTTTTAAAAAGAAAAGTAAGCTTCCTCTGCCCTCTGTAAACATAAACTTGCTCTTAGTAGATGACTAGATTCACATTTTTTTCATTAAAAGTATATTTATTATTTTAAGGAAATATAGTGGTTTACCATGCCCAATGAGATGTGCCAAATAGTCTTCTGCTTTTTTTGTGTAGTCTTTTCGAAGACATGGCAATGTCCATGATAGATCAAGAATATGGACATCTTTAACAGCTTCTAAACGATAAATTTTTCCTGGACTCCAAATGGGGAGTCCTGATTTGACTTCTGACTTTAAAGCATTGCTGCTTTTGACTTTGCTAAATAGCTCCAGAACCCAACTTTCAAGAACATCAAGAGTTTCTGCACCACCAAAAATGACTTCATGATTCTTACCCACAACTTTTCCATGAACCATAACATAATTTAGTTAACTTTACAACATTCTAAGCAAAATGCACATGACGATTTTATATATAGTTCAGTAGAATAACAAGATTTATTCAGAATGGTTCCTTTTTGTATTTGTAACAGGGAATTTACCTCCCCCGATGATAACTAACTTCATTGATCCACCATGGTAAAAGTCATTGTAACATTTCAAGATTCGATCCCTTAGGTTGATTCCTTTCTCCATTGCATCACCTAAACTTTTCTTGTTCCCTTTAATACAAGAAAATGAAGAAAAACATGAATAATTTGCACGTTGAATGAACATTAAAGGGAAAAACAAACTAGGTTTTAGTCAAATTCACCCCAAAAAAATTGGTTGAAAGCATGACCAGGTGCTGCTGTGTGGCATTGTAATTGTTGAAGTCGACAAGCATCACTTTGCAGAGCCTGATTAAATTCTGTCATTTTTTGAGTCGATGAAATATGAGACTAATCAGTATGTGATTCATTTATCCTTTCCACTCTCTTGATTATCTTTAATGCATGGAATCAACAGAAAGATGAAGTGATGTAAACACACCTGAATCTACAGCCTGTACTTCTCGATCCATTGCTTCGTTCTTCACAAGTGGCGAAATAAAAAACTGGGAAAATCTGAGAAATAGAAAGGATATGGATAAGTATGTTTCAATCTAATAGCATGAAAGATATAATCTATGCAATATACTTGAAAAGATTGTAGAGTTACCTTCTCAGAGCACCCTGGAGAAATTCTGGTTTAACTTCAAAATGGTAACAAGTATGCTCCACTTCTGTGTATGCATTCGAGGAGCCCCCATGCTTGGACAAGTAACTGTCATACTAGCACACAGAAGAGTCAAACAGGGACGAAAATAGAACACAAGATCCACTAATAATTTTTGGGTACTCTTTAAAACTGATTTACAAATTTCAAGTGAATAAGTTTCTTCCTAAATAAAAGTACCAATGAAATAGTAAATAGCAGGAAAAAGAAAACCTCATTTTCATCTGGAAATTCTGCACTCCCCATGAAAAGCATGTGTTCTGCAATAAATCAAGTAATAAGTAGCATTGAACCATTAAACAGAACAAGTCACTAAGTATCATTCTCATTTCTTGCAACATTGTCAATGGATATGATTATATGCATTAAAAAGAAGTTCTGGTAAACCCTTGTTTAGTGCTTCATAATGAAGCTTCCACCACCAAATATCAACTGCTTAGATATCATGAACCCAAAAATATATGATTAAGAAAGCAATAGATGTTTGGTAATTACAATCATATGTTTATCTGAGTCTATAAAGATGCATGTCTTTCCAGATTTACAGAAGATGAAGTATTAAATGAGATACAGTCACAAGGGAAGAGGAACAAACCAAGAAAATGTGCAAGACCCTGTGCCTCTAAAGGATCACAAAAGCTACCCATCCCTACACACATTGCTGCTGCAGCCTGCAAAATAATAACAATTTCAGTCTATAAATGTAATCGGATTCAATCGTAAATAGATCCAAAGTCCTTAGTTAACCTTTAACTTTCCTCATTATATGCTAAATGATCTTAAAAATTTATAAGTAAAATGATAAAACCTAAATACGAAAGTAAGAAAGAAAAAGTTACAACTTTGTAAAATCAAAGGCACAGCAGAGAACCAAAATAAATCTTCACTCCAATAAAAACCATAAAGTCTCACTCAGTTCCAAAAACATAGTCCACCGTGAAAGAACAGCAAGCAGATAATTCAAAACTAGAATTCCACATGAGAAGCTGCCATAGAAATTATAACATCGTAGAATCATCAAAACGAAGTAGTTCCATTTTTAAAATGCTCAAACCAATTTTACGACGCTCATCGATTTAAACATGTTGATGTTTCCATTATGCCATATGAATGTGAAAGTATCCCTCAATTTTCGATCCAATAGCTGAAGATTGATAATTAAACCTTTTTAGTCTGAGGGGCATTGCTCTTAGCTGATTTTTTTCCTTCATTGCCTTCATCATCGTCTTCGTCGTCGTCTTCTCCTTCATCTTCTTCTTCTCCGCTTTCATCCTCATCGTCTTCGTCATCTTCTTCATCGGCATCATCATCGCTGATTTCATCAGGCCTGGCACTTTCCGGTGGCCCGTCCATATAAATATCAGGATCATACACAAGCAAAGCACAGAGGCCGTTCGGCAGCTGTATGTATCTGTATAACCGCCTATCGTTCGGCGACTTCACTACGATATCGTCCGACGAATAAGTACTACCGCCGACCGCCATTGATCGATGTACACTAGTACAGACTGCAGCCGTTTACTGTGTGCTTTGGAATCGGGTCTACCTCTAGGGCGTCGGCCTGAACCGGAAGTAAACAAAGCAAATTTGGTTCGATGTTCGTAGCTTGCAAGTGGCGGAAACGCCCCTAACGTGCCCTACTAGATTTACAGATTCGGTCCTTTTATTATTTATTATAGAGTAAATTTAAATTTTGGTACATGTGTTTGTACCAATATGTCTTTTAGATTAACTTTCGAATTTTTGATATAATTCGTCAATATGGTTTTTAATACTGCAATATGGTTTGTGAAATGTAACTTTTGAATTTTTGATATAATTCAGTCAATATGGTTTTTGATATAATTTTTTATATAACTTTTGAATTTTTTATATAATTTTTGATATAATTCATCAATATGGTTTGTGAAATGTACTCATTTTTATATTTTATATTTGGTTATAACCCGTGAAAATCAAGTATGAAAAAGAAAAAAAAAATACAAATAAATCATAAGGTAATATTTCACCAATGATAAAAAAAAAAAAAAAACATTTATTCATCTATAAAGATCGATGTTAATATAAATACCGTTATTCGACATTTTAGAAACATGTGTAATAGATGAATTTTGCGGGGTTGATGTGTTACAAATTATTTTGGATTTTCTATTATGTAAATATAACTTTTTAATTTTCCTCCTCTCTCCAGCGTTAATATAATCCGTAGTATTATTTGAATCTGTAAAAAACTAGTAAACAGTTTAGGACACTCTTTTGATATATAGTTAAAGGTTTATTTTTTTTAAATATTTATTAAAATTTAAATTAATAATGAACAACATATTTAATGTCATGACATTTTAAAATTAAAATGATATTTTAAAGTACGGTTAAGTAAATATGACATAACAATTTTAAGATATACAATATTATTTAATTTGTATATATATTTTTTCGTATCTTTTTAGAAAATATAGCAATCGAATTTATGTAAATATTTATATTTATCAATCATTAAAACTCGTGTATTACACGATTAATGCATTAAAATTATAAAAAAAAATGGATAGACTACCATACCAAATCTTTGACAACCCAAATATTATAAAATGTGATAGAAAAATAGGTCATAGCAAAAACGATGAGCACATCAAAAATACAAAATCAATAAGTGATAGGTTTTAAGTAGTGATAGTTTCTTTTTGTGGCATACAAATATATTGAAGTCTTGAATCTTTTTCAAACTCACTTATAGAATTGTATAATAATTATAACATTGAAAATATTACCCAATTATAACATTATACAATCATTTACTTTTTGGGATTAATTGTCAAAAGAAAACAACCTACTTTAGTTGGTTTTTTTGGGTAAACCGCCAAAACATAACATATATTGCAAAAAATAGCAATGTACTAAAAGTACATAGTTACTTATTGCTACATGCTAGAAACATCTTACTTTAATTTGTCGATTACATTAAACCCTTTATCATAGGAAACGGTTTCTTGAGCAACAATGTACAGCAACATACTTTCTTTAGTTTTGGTAAAGTACATTGTCATTTCTAAAAATTAACCCTTTTAATTAACATCAAAAAAGGTTTTCAAAAGGCACACAATTCACATACAATGGAGAAATCAATTTTTTCATCTAAAAAAAGATCTACGGTTACTTCCAACTGAATACTCATAAAGAGATCCACTTCAGCTATAAAATCAAAGGACAATAAAACAACATTGGTTCATACCAGTTGCATAACCCTTGATAATCAAATCAAACATTTTTGAGTTAAAAAACCAACCTTCAAACGGTCAGCGTACTCCCCGTACGCCCAACGTACGCGGTTGACCCAAAAATCGTCCTACCTTCAAACAGTCGTAATTTCCTCGTTCCAACTCCGTTTTCGACGTTCTTTATATTCACGAAAAGGTATTGGAGAGCTCTACAATATTATCTAAATATTTTGGACTAAAAAATTTCTCGAATAAAAATCCATATTTAATGCAAGAACTCGACCTATGACTTTTCCCGTTCTACCCTTCGGCCCAAAACACAATTCAAAGGATTAGATCTCATAACCATCATTGCCTCCTTCCAAAAGGTCGAAACATTACTCCCTTAAGGCCCAAACCCTTTATACAATAGACTCCCGGCCCACGGCCCTGGAATAAGAAATGACGGGACACAAGATGTTACAAATTAAATGTAATATTTAATATTTTTAATATTTTGTTATGTATTTGTAACACCCGTGTTCCAGTTTGGCTAATATGATTGTATCAAGGACCTAAGATGGGAAATCTTGAAGGAAACTTTGTGCCACGACGTGGCCAAGGAGGACCACGATGTGACAATGGTTTAATTGGTCGCGTGATTTTTGGAACCACCACGACGTGGCCAAGGAGGACCACGACGTGGCAACTGATCAGGCCCAAGCCCATGACTCTTTTAGGGTTCCCTTCATATTTAAACCCCTCATTTTAGGATTCATTATCAGCCTCCAAGCCCCCTTTTCACCTCATAAAAACCCTAGCCTTCATCCATTGCTTCATTCTTGGCCTTTTTGGAGCTTTCTTGGATTGAAGAAGAAGAAGAAGAAGAAGAAGAAGTTAAGGAAACAAGCCAAGCTTCGTAAGAGGCGACCGGGCTCCGCGACTTCTTAATCATCTAACCCCCCAGTCATTAACATTTGGGAGAATATACCCCTCTCAAGTGTGTCAGAAACTGAAACAGAAACCCTCTCACTCTCACCTCAACCATCCTCATCCAGAAATACCACTCCACCTTCTTCACCTACTTATAACATTCCAAATACTACACCTACAGAAACTTCAACCATTACTCATACCATGGGAGACGATCATGGAGGGAATCCACCTCCAAATCCACCACCCGAGCAAACCCTTCGTCAATGGTCGAGACAAGAAGTTACATAACAACCTCTTTGTATCACATATCCGGCAGAGTTAGGACCAGAGGGTCCATCAGAGTCGTGGGACTGGAGGGTCCCACTGAGACACGTTGACCGGAGGATCTTACAGAGTTATAGCGTCGAGTGGCTAATGTGTTGTATGTGGTATTTTGGGGAACTCACTAAGATTTATGCTTACCGTGTTACGCGTTATGTGTTTTGGGTACCCAAGAGGATCGCGGGAAGGCACCGACGTGATTGTACACACCTGTTCGAGATTATGTTGAGGATTCTGGGATTTGACTTTTGTTGTGGATTTATGTTGACTTTGAGACACTTATGATTTTTATGAAATATAATATATGAGTTTTATGTGATTTAAAAATGAAAAATTGGTTTGAAAAATTACGTCGTTACAGTCTTAGTGGATTAAGACCAAGAGAAGTGGGAAATGGGAGTCCGAGGAGTACGTCGTACGTACTTCCAGCTACGCGCAACGTAGAGTTGAAAACCCCATCGCATGCTTAGCCAATAGTACGCCCAACGTACGCAGTGGGTGTTGTCTTTCGTTGACTTTTGAGTTTTGGGTCAATTTGTGGACTTTTGACCGAGGAGGGGCAAAATGGTATTTTTACCCTTCTGAAATTTAGTTGAGAGGCTTGGTCTAGCATTACGAGGTTATTAATATTAATTAGAGTTATATGTGGCATATTTTAGGCGGAGTCTAGACCGACAGTTCAGGTGCGAGACTTATTTGCTTTTCTACGTGAGGTGAGTCTTCTCACTATACTTACCGTGTGGCAATTTATGTGTGATTGGAGGGTCTTATTCGTGTTATTGACCGGGGGTCTTAATTGCTATATATGTGCATTCTGTCTTTGTCACTTATGTTTTATATTATTATGTGTATATATATTGACTTATGGTCGGAGGGTCCATACCGAGACGTGAGACCAGAGGGTCTTCACCGAGACATATGACCGGAGGGTCCTTATTGAGACATAGCAATGAGAGGCTAATTATTTGTGTATGTGGTATTTTGGGAAACTCACTAAGCTTCGTGCTTACAATGTTGATTTAAATGTGTTTCAGGTACATCTCAGGATCGCAGGAAGGCATCGGCATGATTGTACACACTCGTCTGTTAATGAGGATATATGTGGATTATGGGATACTCTGACTTTGTTTTATGATGTTATGTATTTGACACTTATATTTGACATGGGTTGGTGTTAAAACTATGTTTTTGGGAAACTTAAAAATGAAAATTTTGTTTGAAAATTTTGAGCTGTTACACGAAAGTTGTACTCTCGTCGAGAGCTTTCCAAGTATATAAATAACGTCGAAAACGAAGTTTGAATGAAGAAGATACGATTTTATGAAGTTTTTCGAGAAGCGCCACGCGCAGGTGGGTTGCACGGTGCACACCTTCTAGAAGGTGGGGTACGTACTACCATGTTTGCGACACGTGGCAGAAAAATGGGAGGAGAAATGTCTCATGTGTACGCGACGCACACACTAGGCGCAGTTGTGCTATAAATAGACCTCGGTTGCTCATTTGCTTCCTCACTCCCATCCTCATCTCTCTTTCAAAATTCTCTCGATTTTAGCCCATTTCCCTTAGTTTTAGATTTCGGCAAAGCCCTGCGATCCCTGAAGAAGTAATAGCTAGCGAGTATAAGCTCTTCCAGTTCAATTTCCTAACTTATGCCAGGAAGAACCTCTGTAAGTTAAGCTACACTCTAGTCTTTTTCTGTGTAACTTATATTTATATTCATAAGTCTTCATTATGAACCTATAAATAAGATTTATCAGTAATTCTATGTCGTTATACTGATTGATCTGCTTATGGGAGAGGTGTCTAGAATGGTCATGGTGGCTTGGTTGTTGGATTTAGAAAAACTATTATGCCAAAATGATCTTGCCTTCCAACTTTCCTGCCTGGCTGATCCTTACTTGATAGATCTTGTTATGGACATTAGGATCAGTGAGGATCTAGACTATTCTTAGTCTCCAGTATCATTAGACTTAAACTTTGTAGTAATTATACTTAGGTTACGTCAAGGAATATCTGGGGTGTTAGACGAAGCTCTGCCCAGATCACCCGTCACCCATTTTATCATGTGAGTGCATAGTTACTTTCAGTATGTTGGGTAAAGATGGGTAGATATAAGATGACATAGATGATGAGAGATGAAATGTGATATAGACAACGAGAGATGAAGTATTATATAGATGATTA